TTATAATTGATTGATCACTATGTTATAATCAATGTTATGATTGTCTAGTTAGTTAGTGCTTTCAAATACTATTAACAAAGTTAATTAAACACATGAACATTAGTACAAATGAGCACCAACAATTATATATGCCACACAATAAAAATGAGATTGTGAAGAGATAGGAAAAGGAAGATAAGTACAAGTATAGAAGAAAAACTGAATAAGTATTAGTGTGTGGGGGTTTGAAAAGTAATAATGATAATGAAGAGAGAAGTTCAATTAAGAAAAATACATCCTAATAGGGTCTTTTTATTTGAAGACAATAATAGAAATTTACGGCGGAACCTCCAGTCACTTATATTTTGAGTCGTAACTGATAACGTCTAGTGATAGTTATATAAGTTAAATAATAGTCACTGGGACTCAGCATTACCAACATAGTGTTACCACTGAGTGTCCTTCGGAGATAACGACGATCAAATAAAGAAGGTCTCTTGACATTCTCCGCTTGAAGATGTCAGGTTTCACAAGCACAGATTAAAGCTGCTCTCACTAATGCAGTGTACATAGACATTTTTCAGCCAGAATGAAAATTTTAGATTATTATAAGCTATTCTGGCTTTCGTCAAACGCGAGTTGATCTCATCACTCACTTAACCATTAGCTCTTACACAGCCACCCAGATAGACGAAACTTTCGGTTACCTTTAATTACTCAATAACAGGCACAGGGTCCTTCAATTTTCGGAAAAATACTTTGTACTTAGAAGGTGCGAAGGCTATAACATACCTATAGACATGTTTTCCCAACTGATCAAATGAGTATTGTATGATTGAACATCATCTCACAGTAAGACATTATCATCCGCATACTTAAAGTCAAAAAGTCTATCTACAGATAACAGATTTACACCACTACTACCTACAATCACCAGAGCTCTTCCCAAAACCTCATCGATGAGATCATTGTAGAAAATTTGTGATATTGGGTAACACTGTCTAAGCTAACAACTTACATGAAACAATGAACAAAGTTGGTCGACTGACTTACAACATGATCATTAGTCTGAATGACTAATAACCTTTTGCATAGTGTTGAGATATGATTATATGTAGTTTTTAGAATATCCTAAAACTAGATTTCCCTCAAGTTGACATTCATCAATAAGGCATACCCGGAATTTCGAAAAAAAAGATGCTTTCTTCAATTTTGAATCATCTTCACAAACTTTTTATAATGACTATAATACATTAATAGTCAATACAAAGTATACCTTAATGGTTTTATCATTCTCAACAATATATACAAACAAAACCTTGGTATAATTAGTAATCTTTCTTTTCATATTTCCACCAGTATAGAAAATGAATAAATTTTGATTTGATTCATTATTCTTGTTATTATTGTTTTTTTTTATTACATATACCTAGTAAATCTTAACTGATCTTCATCGATATGATGAAGGTACTAGATTTAAAATTTTGTTTGATTTCGTCACACTAATTTGTTTATTTTCCCTAATTCTTCTTTTCTTTTTTAACTATGTGAATATGTTTTCGCTTATTGAAGTAAAAAACAGTACTTATTAGGAAAGAATTTCTGTTTATGATAAATATCTTATTATGTACACACGCATTCACTCTATCTATTCTTGATCATATTTTAGGTAAGTAAATCGGATAGACAGATAGATAGTTAGATGGTTTACATAGATACTATTCTGTAATTGAAATAGAAAATTCTTAAAAATGTTTATCATACTATTTATGATAAACAAATGAATCTGTGAATGATTATTTTTGTTTTAAAGATTCATTTAATAAACATAATTTCTATTAATTGTTTTTTTCTTCTTTTAAAATAACCAAATCAAATCGGTAAAAATTATCGCAATCAACAACATGGATGGCACTGAACCTCCTGTTGGTCGCGTTGAAACGGGTAACATTAAGCCTGGTATGGTCGTCACTTTTGCTTCGCAAGGTATGACGACTGATTTATTAGCAAAACAATTGTTACGAGGACACCCAAAAAAAGTTCACAAGTCCAGAACAAATTACTTGTCAGCTGACTATCGACTTTTCCATCGAATCATCAACGAGTGGAATTCATTACCTCAGCAGGTAGTTGAAGCTCTATCTGTCGATTCTTTCAAAAGAAAGTTGGATCAACTGAGAGACTATCATCGCCAGGACAATCAAGCCTCCTGTCCTTTCCAAACTGAAACTGAAACTGATCTGAAAGATTGACAGTCGAAATGAATGAAAACTGTGTTTCAATAATCACTTTGTTACTTTATATAAATGATCATTAAAATTTGTTTAACGGTGATTGAATTCATTTAGACAATCATTTAAAACTAAAATCTAACAGTTATTTCGTCTTAGGACGAAATATCTATGAAATATGCATTTAGAATGACTAGAGATTAAATCCAAGACCTGCATATTTTGTGTTGAGTGCAAAACCTTTAGAGCATTAGATTTGAATTCAAATGATTTACATTTCTTATTTCAATAAATTCATTTTTAGCCATCATTGATACCAGTTTAAAACCAAAATACCTGGTTTACAAGAAAGGTCACTTTATATATATCTTAGTACAACAACCTAAGAAACTATGGTGTGCAAGTACGCAACTAAACGAAATATTATTGAATAATTAAAAATCAACATAACTCGCTATAAAAAGAATATAAACAAGTATGTAGTATGATTTTTCTAGTTTACTAACGATGAAGTGGTTGAATAACGGATGTTTTCTGCTAAATTTTCTGAATATCTATTACCACACTATCAAAAAGCTTCCATTTCAAGCGTTATTTTTTCGGTTACCTTCGAGGTATTTCTGATTTTAGTCCCATCGAAAACACATCTTAATTACCGAATAGCAAAACCGAATTGAATTAAAATCTAAAAAATGAACGATTTTTACAATGAAACAGAAGAAATGAGATATTTAGTGAGTCACTTGTAAATCAAGAATAGCCGGTCAACAAACTCCCATTAACTTTAAATACAGATTTGCTTATTAAGCATTCTAATTATAAAGTTCGTTCAAGATATTCAAACATTTGATCATTATATAAATGCCTTAAATTCAAAGAACAGGCTATCATTGTGTTATTCGTAGTATTTATCATAAGAGTTTACTGAGTCTATTATATAATAAAATAAAGTCTTGGATTCCTGGCTAATGATGAGATGTACAAGGGTAAAAATTAATTATCATTTTAGTGAGAACTCCTGCACTCTAAAACTGACCCAAGATCATATGACGATCATCATAAACAAATGACAAAATCATGTAGTTACGAAATATCCAGCTTGAATAAACACTTGAATATTGACCTTTAGAATCCATTTTATATGTGTCAACGCTATTTCTTAAACACTCTCCCAATTACAGCATTCAGAAATTCCATCTTAACTATCAAGTAAATAATAATACACATTTAGTTTCTGAATAATGTCGTCAAAGATTTACATTTATTCACTCTGACAGTAGCATTTAATAATATTTTACTAGGAGGAATATTGTTCAGTAAAAGTTAGACAGTGGCTAGCAGTATAATTCGATGAAATCAGAAAAAAAATTCAAATACTTATGAAAAAAATTAAAGTTCTTATTCGTCTACCAAGCTAGTGGCTTTCTAATATCAGTAGCTCAGGCGATAGAGCACTATACATTTAGACTAAAAGATAATGGCTTTGAATCTAAGTGTAAACATCAACACTAAAATGCATGTTTATGTAGCTAACACGTTTCTTATAGGACTAAACATAAGCACTGATTGGCATTATCAAACTGTAATTCAGATTTATAACTTCAGCACAATACTGAGTAAATTCTCTTGACGACTGACTAATTACCGTTCTTTAACATCAACAACATGAGAATTATAAACTCTCAAAAGTAAAATAGAACAACATTTACTTTTTTTTAAAAAAAAAACAAAAACACAAAACTCTATCACAACTTCAATTACATCAATATACATAAATTTGAAAGAGATATGAAACATTCAACTTTGCAATCTTTTTATCCAAGAAAATAAAAACAATGTAAACAAACAAACGAATAAGAAACAAAGAGAGAGAGAGAGAAAGTCACAATTTAAAAAAAAGAAAAAAAAAGAAAAAAACATTTTTTCAATATAAACAGATACATGAGCTTTTAAAAAAAGAAAAAAAAAAGAGAGAAAAGAATAAAACTAAGATAAAATCTGAAATCATTTCAAATACACAGAATCTTAGTTTAATTGTTTTGTTTTAATAAAACAATCATTGTACATAAATGAATTGTACAATTCATTGTTACAATTACATATTGTATGTTTAAAATAACAATAGTAGTAATGATAGTAATAGTAATAATAATAATAATCTTTTGTACATGAGGTGAACATAGATAAATTTGTTTGGAACATAAGTATATCTATGAGAAAAAAAATACTGTTTTGTATCATTGATTTGTTTACATGTCTCTCTATGTGATTGAATGAATGGATTGACTTTGCTATATCTCTAAGCAGATTGGAACAGTTTATTGAAATGGATACATTCAAGAATCCAAAAAAATGAAAAAGAACAAAAAAAACTGTGATAACAGATGAAATCAATAGGAAACAAAAGAAACAATAATATTAGAATGCTTTTTTTGAAGTGAGGTTCACATTTAACTGTGATGATGTTTTTTTTTCTTGGAAACATAAAAGACTGGAAACATTCACAGCCAATAGTTATGGTACAATAGGAATAATGTGTTGAATTCAAGAAGGAATAATGAATAAGTTTTCATGTTAATCATAAATAATTTAGGAGAAAAAATGTAAGTACACAATGATTAAGAACAATTCTATGAAGTGATTACAAATAAATATTTCGGATTTCAGTTTTTTTTCTATAATAAAAAAAAACAAAAAAAATAAAAACACGGAAAAACATCGTACAACAACATTAGTTGATGGAGTATGAAGGTAATTGATTGAAATTACTACATAGAATATAGTTGAATTTCACTGACGATTTAACCAATGCCAGAATATGACTGACCTGTGAGTAAATAAGATTCAAAAGAAAGAGAGTGACTGTTATTGTTAATTTATAAAAAAAATTCACATGTTTTATGACCAACAATAGTGTCTTTTTTATTTGGGAACACATTTTGATGGATTATCGACTGTACAATTACTCGTATTCATATATGAACAGGGGAGCACATTGTTTGACTATGGTATGTATTCATATTTGGAGAAACAAATCAATCATTATTTAGTGTTTCAAACATAAGACTAACGTTTCTCAAATGGATAAATTTAACTCTTTAATTATCTTCATGATACCGATTACTCACTGATTATATCATCAATGTATCTGAAACTCTTACTTACTTATCTACTTATGCCTTTTACCCCCAGTGGAGCATAGGCCACCGACCAGTATTCTCCAACTCATTTAAGTCATAAATAAAATTATGGAAAAGAATTTGACTTTCATCACAATTGATTAGTCACTGAGTGGTGATCAATGTCATGCGTGTCAAGTCCTTCTTAATGCTGATCGAATGCTATCGATCAAGTGGTAACCTCTCTGATTGTGAAGCTGAGTAAGACGGGATCGAATCCGTCAGGGAGCACCAGTTCCCTCAAGATTACAGGTACACCTTGCTGACGAGTGCCAAGTAACACGAAACCCGGGTCCAACGTTTCCTGTTGACTACCTCCAACAACCATTTTATCTCAATATTTGACTTTCATATTACATAACTACTGATTAATTTATTGGATTCACAACTTCTCGTATAGTGTACGGAAACACACACTAATGAAAATCAAATATATTAGTTTACAGTTCAATACACTTTGTAGTGAAGCGAGCTTACTTATCTAGTCTAAACAAATGAATGTTCATTGACGATCGCGTATCTTTAAAATCATCTTTTCATTTAGTTACCTCTATAAAAATCCTAGGTCAATTTTATATTACGAAATTTTTAAGATTTAGAAGCTGGCGCTATACGTTTGCTAATATTCATATTATTTGTTAAGGTTGTTATCAAACAAGCATAGAATACGAGTAGAATTTCAGATTTTCTAACTAGTTTCCTCTTAAAAGTTTTTTTAGTAACCAAACAAATTCGATCACTTCATTTAATTGACTGACATCTCATATACATCCACATGAATGTTTATTTATCAATAGGATTGCTCTTTCGAATCCGATTATTTTGTTATACAATAAACTTCCTTTTTAACAACGCATGAACGAGTTATTCACAACATAGTTAACTAAAAAAGTTATCACATTATTAATTTTTTTTGTTTACTCGACATTATATGCTTGAATAACGATGAATGATTGGCAATAAATGAAAAAATGAAAAATCCATCTCTTTCAAACTAATTTTGAAGTATAACAATGATCATAATGTATTCAAAGCTATTTGTACAAAATAACTTTGCTCATTCTCTTTTCCCTTCTTGTTTCTATTATGTAGAACATTTATAAATTGTATATTCCTATCAGTTTTTCAACCTTCATTGTAAATCTTTAATGTTTATATACAACTCAATAATTATTTAGCGGAAATTATCCTACTAATCGTTATGTCATTATGTTCATTCTTTAATCAATATAACTATTGGTTTGAGCATATTGATAGAGACTAGTTGTATGTACATATATTCCCATGTGATATATATATATATATATCATTTTATACGCTAAAAATTGGATAAAAAGTAATGTGAATGTTTTCCACAAATTGTATTTGGACAAATTCATATACGAACTATAATACACAGTTTATTCATCTCATATTGTTGTTGCGTGTTAACTCGACAACAAACTTCCGAAAAAAAAGAAATACAGACATTTTAATATTTCGCCCTTATATAGTGGTAGATATAAAGCGAATGCTGGTGGGCGGCCTATACTCCTCCACGAGGGGTAACAGGCGTAAGTAAGTAAGTTATATAGTGGTCATGTTGTTCGATAACTGTCAATTTTTTTTTGTTTTTCTTTTAATTCTTTTCAGAGAGAATCTGTCAAAAGATTTTGTTTTTATTTTTATTTTAAAATAGAAATTTGTTTACATCATCATTGAAGCTGAAATTTTTTTTACAGAAAAAACGTCATTGCTCTTTATTATTTCATTGATAAATATGTCAACTAATCGGTATTCCCTTTTCATCATAAACAATCATTCTTATGATTCAATAGATTAAATATATTTAATCAACCGAAAATCAATAGTGTTAAAGTTTTCTAATCAAAATGTATTATCTTAATATATTGTAATATTTTTGAAAACAGTATTCTACTACTCGAGTATGCTATATTTTCCGGTAACTTATAAAATGATAAGGAAAATTTTCAGAATAGGGGTTTTGTGTAGATTTTAGTAAAATAAGGGTTGAATTCATGAATCAGTTAAAGCTAAACCACCATGACAAGCTTGGAATTACTGGATGGACGTTTCGTCTCAGTATGGGACTCCTCAGCAGTGCATATCCACGATCCCGCACTTTGAACTCGAACTCAGGACTTTCAGTCTTACACATGAATACCTAACCTCTAGACCATTGAGTTGACATCCAACAGTGTTAATGTCTAACTTCAACCAATCGACAATATTGCACCACCATCCACCATCATTAGTTATTTTCATTGACTTTGTAAGGTTTTCTCTTTGATCATTTCATGTGTCATTATTAATTTAGAGAACTTGTCTAAGTTTTACAAGGTTTATATATATATATATATATATGGATATATCGTATATACTTAGTAACAAGAATATATAATAATATATAAATAGAACTCACTTCAATAAATAAACTATTTGTTTTGTGTGTGTGTGTGTGTGTCTTTTCGCTTCAGTTTATGAAAACTCGTTGTAATTTTCGATTAGATTACACACAAAAAAGAAAATCTGTATCTAACATTTAATTATTTCATAATTTTGCAACCAAATAAGTTCAATTTTGTTTATCAACGTTTAATCTATAAGACAGAGAATATTGACGGAAGAAAATTATTAGAAAGATGATCAATTCGAAATGAAAAAAGTTAAAACAATCACCAGAAAAAAGCTGATTAACTAAATAAATATTTTTTTAGTTTTGGTTACTATGTTAGGTCAACATAACTTATTCTAGATTCTGAACAGGCTAATTTATTCATTCTTCTTGAGTCACGTTTTGATCTTGTCAATTATTTACTTATCAACCCTGAATGTTTTTATATGAGCGTATTTGTGTACATTGCTTATCCTACTCATCACACATCTTAACCTTATTATTGTTTGATTATAAATATCAAATAACGTTTGATTAAATGGATTTGGCTCATGCACCATCTTCACTGCGCGTCTTTTCATTTTGCTTCGCTCTCTCTTCTTTGCTTCATTCGCTGCGATTATCTGACTGTCTGTTCTGATCAACAAGTGCACAAAATATATGTATTAAAAAAGTCAATTCTCCTATTTTTGACTTATTCAATTTCGCTATTCAAAAAAGCGGGTTAAGTCGATAATAATATACAAGAATAGTCAGGATGTATATCTCGACAGCAATCATTGATACGGTCTACTTGGAGTCAGATCCCAGGTGGCTAAAGTGGTGACTCCAAGGTGATTCGAATACGCAGCCTTCTGATCTGGAATCAAATCCACATGCCGCAAAAATTTCTTGATTTTATGTTAAGTTTACATGGTAACAAAGTGAAATACAATATTATACAAAGGTTATTAGACATTAGACAAATGAAATATGACCCAGTGAATATTTCAATGAGGAAATATCATTGAAACAAGAACTTGATTAATCTACAAAGTAATAATCATATTTCATTTAATTATATATGGAATATCTATGCATAGTTTAGACAATGTACTTTTAAATTGTACACATAGAATCATCTGTGAAAGTAAAAGAATATTGATAAGTATATCGTCTTAATGTTTTAATTATCTAAATCAAGGTATTTAACAACGCTGAAATAGTATAATAAGAAGATGAAGATTATCAGAACTATATGATATATTAGCACAATACATTTCGAACAATCTAATCAAAAGTTGAATATAACAAATATTCTAATGACCATAGAAATTGAAAGAGAAAAATGATCTAAACTTTATTTATTATGGTAAGCAGTTTAGGCTTTTGATGTTATTTCTTTACTTTACATGAGATAGTAACAGTGTTCTTCGTGAGAATAGAAATTTTGGCAGAAGTATTTTCTACATTCCATGTCATATATGTTGTCTAAATACTTGTTTTTTATTTATACCAAAAAGCTATAATGAAGTGTGGAACGTCTTATTCTTTACCTGATTAACCTTTAAACATCGAAATTCAAGACATTTCACTTGAAAGTTTGTTCAGTAAATACAAGATAAAATTAGAAAAATCGTTATCATAATATTAGGGTTGAAATTATAAATCAATTGAAGCTAGACCACCATGGGAAACCTGGAAGCACTAGACGGCTGTTTCGTCCCATTGTGGGACTCCTCAGGATAATATACTTATCATCTTAAATACACTAAATAATGAATTAATTTAATCAAAACTATTTTAATGTTTGCCTGATTTGTGTGCATTAAGATTTATTCCAATAAAGTTGATATAATGTTTTGTTGAAACACTAGTATATCAGATAATACAATAAGATTTTCACTCTATTCAAAAAAAGGACAATAGATCCACAGCCAGGAATGAGAAAAAGGTAATGATATCAAACAAAAGATTTAATTTGCAGTAAAGAAAATAAGATTTAAGTGAAAATAGTTCTGGAATCAAAAGAGTAAATATGGAGTTTTACATACTCATGTAATTAGAAGTAGACATCAAAAAGATGAATGGTAAATGGAAAAAACTGGAAGGGATTTCCCAAAACAGAGTTGGATGGAGAATGCTGTTGGGTAGGCTATACACCTACCTGAGGGGTAACAGGGGAAATTAAGTAAGTAATGGAATTGACTATTTCATGTGTTACTTATAGTCACTTATTAATTTTTATTATTCCTATAGGTTTACTCAAAAATTCATTGTTAATAATCGTTGATTTGATGAACTGGTGCAAGGATTGTTTTGCGGAATAGTATTCGTAACATTAAACTAAGATTCTGTTGAGACGGAATTACGAGTACGATTTAACACTTAAAGTTGAAATTATTTGCTAGTTGTTACCATATATAATCCCCACACGTGAAAACTTTCTTGTTTTCAAAATTTCCCTTATCAAACCCAGATTTCGACATTTAGAAACCGGAAAAGATCATTTTGAAGGGTGATATTAAAGCACTTCATTATTAGAAAACAAAACAGAAATAAATAAAAAATGATTAATGAGCTTTTATGTTTTGATAAAACTCACCGTAATCATTTGAACTGTAGGGATGGATATAGGAAGCATATTTGGTGTTCCATAGTAAGTACTATAAGTATTAGAACCATTGGTTGTTGAGTTGGAATATTCCGAATTTTGAACTCCTATATAAAAGAAGCATATTAATCGTGCATATACCTTGACAGTAAAAAAACGTCATAGGTAAGTTTACACCAAATACATGAATAAACATTAGTCATACTCTCATTTGTGACTGGTTTCCAGATCGATTACGAATATTCTGCTGGAAAGAATACGATTGATTGCTTCTCAACATATCGAAAGTGAAACATTTATTTCCAAGGATATTAAAAATATCTCACAATAACATATACTGACAGAAGTAATAAACGTCATTCAGTGAACGCTTGCTTGTTGATCTAAATGGATCATAATCACTGATAGAACAACATTGATCCTGTTAATGATTATATGCTTATTTACTATTAAGTAATCCTGAAGTATGATTAAGTAGCTATTTAGTACTACTTAATTGTTAAGAATTCTTTAGCTGTAAACGTTATAACAGAAATGGTATCAATTATAATATAATTGTCTTTAGAAGACAATTATTATTTGAGTGATTCTAAAAACCTACTTTTTCTTTTCATCTATTTTCTTTTAATGTTCAACTATTTTTTTAATTTATGTAAGTAGATGATACAAAAGAACGTGTAATGCAGTGCTTCGCTAATCTTTCACCTCGAACACCGTTATAATACAAATTTCAACGGTGCATGAAATCAGAAGGCAAAAAGTAGCTGCAAATACAGTTTATTATCAAATGACGCAGGTCACAAAGATTCAAGCATATTAGTGTAAGTATCAGTGACCAAACACAAGCAGTTACATAGGCAAATTTACGGTCAAATTGTATAAGGGCAACAAGACAAAGCAGAAGCTAATAATAGGATTTGAGTGCATACATATATGGAAAGGATTATGAATCATCAAATGCTAATTAAGCAACCAACGTTTTGGTTAAAGTTTGTCATGTGCTCTAGTGATCACAACAGTACAAAGATATGCGCAAATTTTTACTATCCAAATGACAATGTCTGTTAAGTAAGTTAATAAAAGGGCTTAACCAAAATTAACCTTGATCGAAATCGGGTGTAGGATAGTTGCTATAATAGTTATGCAATTACAAAGTTTGATTTCAACTTAAGTCATACACTAATAATTACTTCATTATCCATCATTAATATACCAATACCTCAGTTTTAACAGCTATTTGGTAAATTTACATTAATTCTTTTTTTAAAAAAAATTTAATTCCCATTTCAGTAAAATAAATATAACTCATTTATATAACAAATAGTGAATAATTACTCATTATTTCGTGTGAAATTATATAACAACTAGTGATCGGACGAGAACCGGTGCTTTCAACGTGGTATGGTCGCTGGCATAACAACTAGTGAGATACAATATATCCAACTATCCTATTCAATATAGTTCAATTTTAATAGTAGAATTTTAAATAAAAGGGATGAAATATCTTTAAATTATAATTATAGAATGTAAAATTTATTTCAAACTTGAAGAGTATGTAGCTATTGCTGTGAACTTGAGCACAAGTGAGAACAACCGAATATATTTGAACACACAGAACATCTTAGTTAAATCTGAGAACCATACAGTAAATAATTCATTTGCGAAATATCAATCAATTGTCTCAAAATTGATTGTTTTTTTTAAATATCAGTCAATTGTCTCAGACTTCATTACTCCTTTATTTTCATACCGATCGCTTTTTGTTTCCGTTCTTTCCTTCTTTAACTTTTGCTGCCATATTTTCTAATCCCATCGATTATCGTTATATACTACTCATGTCGATATAAGTAACACATACCATTACTATCCTTTAGAATTGTACTTTGATTTTTTCAGAATTATATTCTTTCTATATTCTTAAACAGATTTATTATTTTTTAAGGCATTTTTTAAAAAAATGTTACATACACGCATACCTTAATAATTGTTTAACTTCATTACAAATAAACATAATAGGGTTAGGTAGGTTTACTTTTTTTTAACGAAAGATTGGAGCCATAGTTAGTTGCCTTTTTTTTATAAAGGTGAAACACTTCATTGAAAAGTTAGGCGTCAAAATTTCAGTTCAGTTTCTATTTGAACCCATATTTTTTTGCTAAATGAGACCAAATTTTGTTTATTTTGTGTGTGTGTGTGTGAAAAATTGTTTTAAACAAAAACAAACTATTATTTATCAATTATAGAATACATTTTCTTTTAGATATTAATTATACTCATTTATATTATGTTGGTTTTATAGGCTTATGATAGACAGTCTAATTGTTGACATACTTATTTGTTCTAAAATATTCACTATTAGATGCTTCATTTCACTCTAAGTTAAAGTTGAATGACTAACATAGTTTCATGCATAGATGGGTGTATCTATATCAATTACCTAACATTATCTATACTTTGAATTATAGATCTACTATCTGGAATTGTTATTTTTAAAGCTAAAGGAATTAGAAATATCAGCGTAAGTCATTTATTATCATATTATAATATGAACTAGAAAAAATATTCAGTTCATGCTCATGTACCTACAGGGGGGATAATTTAAAAGAATTATTATCAGAAGGTGTTTTGTGGAGATTTAGTATTTTCATAGATGAAAGCGTGAGTCAATTGAAATTAAACCACCAGGGAAAACCTGAAAGCACTGGACGGCCGTTTCGTACTATTACCGGACTCCTCAACAGTGTGCATCCACGATCCCGCACTCGCGAGATTCGAACCCAGGACCTAGCAGTTACGCATCAGAGCACTTAGCCGGTTAAGTGCTGTGGGTTTGAATCTCGCGAGTGCGGGATCGTGGATGCGCACTGCTGAGGAGTCCCACAATAGGACGAAACGGTCATCCAGTGATTCCAGGTTTTCCCTGGTGGCCTAGCTTCAAATGACTCACACACTCAACTATGAGATTTTAAAAGAAAATCATGTTGTAGTGAACGTAAACACAAGTGGGGACAAGCCAATGTATTTGAATACAAAATTACTTAATCTCTTAGTAAAACCTGTGAACCATACAGTAAATACTTCATTTGCAAAATATCAATCAATTGTCTCAAACTTCATTGTTATTTCGTTTCTACACCAATAATTCTTTGTCCTCGTTCTCTTTTCTTTGAATTCTTAACCTTCTGCCTTCGAGTATCTCACTTTCGATTGATGATACATATTACTTATATTAGCCGACATCGGTAGCACACACCAAAATATTATTTGATTACTTTCTAACTATATATATATATATATATATATATATATATATATATAGGCGGTTCTATCAATTATTGTTAGGTAGGAGACTTGAAACAAATTTCATCACAGATTGAAATCAGTTAGATGACCAGTAATATCAAAAAGGTACCATTGGACTTTTCTCTTTCTTCATGCAGAACCTAGGAAATTCACTTACTACGATCAATACATTGCTACTTAGTCATGGAGTTGGAACTTGACAGATTATAGTTTTAATATCAATTAACCTCAGCAAGTTCTAGATTTGAAATGATTGGTTGGTAATCAGTTTGTTTTCTGTCTGGATTATCTATCATACAAGTGATTATTTATGACTAGATCTCGGAATTTTTTTACAAAGCTTTTCACTCGGAGGATTTTGTGCAATAGTCAGGTAATTTCAAGGAGGCACTACTATGAAATAAAGACTATTCTCATAGTTGAAAGCGTGAGTCAATTGAAGCTAGACCAGCAGGGAAAACCTGGAAGCACTGGACGGCCGTTTCGTCCTATTGTGGGACTCCTCAGCAGTGCGCATCCACGACCTCGCCTCACGAGATTCGAACCCAGGACCTACTAGTCTCGTGCCAGTTCACTTATTCGATAGATCACTGAGATGGCATCCGATGGTGTTTATATTTAACTGAAATCAATCCACCGCCTGATGAGAATCAACTTTAAAATATACTTGATGAAAACAGATTTTAAATGAATATGACATTCCCTTCGAACATAAATAATTTAACAGGTAGTTGAATAACACATTTGTATACAACATTTAAACTATATTTTTAATATACATTTTAAGAAACTTACCTGAAAAATTCTGAAAATTATTTATATTATTCATACTCATTGGATCTACACCTAAATTATTATCAAATAAAGGATTAGATGTGGAAATAAATTGTCCATTTGAATCTAACCATGTAGTTATATCATTATTTGAAATACATTTGTTTACATTAGAATTATATGCAAATAGTGTATTATTAACAGCTTTATTTATTGACATGGAATCATGATTGAATTCATTTCTATTATTTAAATTCATTGTTTGTGAGCAGGTTGTTATGGATGATACTGTTGTTATCGTTGATGTTATTGTTGGTGTTGTTGTTGTTAAATGTTCCGGTGTTGGAGGTAATGGAAGACTTGGTGGTGGAGGTAAATTCATTGGATTAAATAAACGATTATCTCCACTACAATGATTATAAGAAATATTAAGTTTTGATAGATCTATGTTAGAATTATTTGATTGAAATTGTTGCATCAATGTATTGTTTACTGTGTCAACTTTTGCATATGGTTGAGAATCACAGTCAGATCCAGGTAGACTTGTGTAAATTGAATTATCATGAAATGCTTTACGATAATTAATATTGTTTAAAATATTCTCATCGGATCTTAAATATGTTCCATGGAAATGTGGAGTAATAGATCCAGGGGGAATAAACTTTAAAAGAAAAGATTGTCAATATACATAAAAATTTATATAGTTATTAAAGCATAAATGGTATATTTGGACATTTTTAATATTAATATGACCAAACTGTTGATGTCTGAATGATCTCATGAGATTCCTGATAAGAAAATTAAGATGTACGATGTAATAATCACATCCTTTATATGATATTTTTTTCACTTTATCCTAACATAGTATCCAGTAGCTTCTATAGAGTTTATGCACTGAACAAAAAGTTACATTCGTCTAAACTTTCAAACTTATAGAAACTTCAAAGGAAGCAATTATTCAAATCTTTGATTCCTTTTATTCTATAAATTTACTAGCCTTTATTGATTCGTCTTTATAGTAATTTATAATGCATTACCTTATGTTATATCAAGTTTTTACTAGGACTTACTAATGATAATTTTATCATACAACTATCTACCATACATAATCTATATGAAATATAAACTTAAAGGATTTAACCTGAAACATCCTCTCCTTGGATAATAAAATCTGTATAATAATTTAACACTTGAATTGATGAGTCATTTGAAACTAGACCACCATGGAAAACCGAAGAAGCACTGGACGGCCGTTGTTTTGATCATTTCTTAAGAATATAAATGAAATATTTTGACGTTTATAGAGATATACAATTATATACATTATATACAATCAAATCTATGTTTTAAATGTAAATTTCTTTTAAATCGCTATAGTACAAGCGCTTTATGTTTAGAAGCTAGTTAATCATTATGAATAACAAAAGTAGTTTATAAGGTATAATGTTTAATGATCATTGTTATATCCTAGTCAACATTAAATTACAGGTAACTTTTGAGAATTGTTAATGGACTAATATTGTATATATATACTCCTATTGTATAACTGTTCAGAAACTAGATTATGTATATCTATATTCCTCTTATCATAAGCTCCATTTTGACCTATAGATTATGATTATACGATTTACTGTTCTCAAATTATGTTCAGTTTATTCACTACCGTCTCCCACGTTCACAGACACATTTTGGCTTGATCTTGTATGAATGTTATCTCCTATTTTGTGGTGTGATGTGGTCTGTTTGGCTGGTATATAAACCGAGTATGTTTGAATTAAATGATTCGCATAGTGGAAGCTGTCATTAGTGTTCTGAACTCAACTGAACGTGCTAGGCGAACTTAGGACTAATGAGGACGCTAAGCTGCTCATACTGATCGGATGTTATTGGTTTAGCACAGTAATAAGATTGAACAATCTGTATATCGATTGAAGAATAAATCACGCGATAGCTAGTTGGGTTTAAAGCCACAACAATCATTATACTTAATTTATATCTTTTCAATAGCAAGTGTTTTATAAAAAAAACTTAAAATAAGAAAAATTGATTATGTAACATATTTCATAGTAAATAAAACTTACATTTGGTGTCATAAGTGATACAATCGGTAATGAATCTTTCAAATCAAATGATTTTACACCGGGTATACTAGTTGTTATCAAATTAGAACCAAATTCATTCGATAATGAACTAAATAGATTATTTGAATTTATATGTGTAGGATAATTATGATTATGATTATTATTATTATCTAATCCAATTGGTTGAAATGATTGATGTAATGTATTAGTAGTTAAATTAATATTCATTGGTGTTATTCCATTATTTGTTAAAAATTGATATCCACCTAAATATGCAGTTGTACTAGGTAATCTTATAGTTGATTCTTGACATCGTTGAGGATGTTGAAATTGATATTGTACATCACCGATTGTATCATTTGTTGTAGTTACTACTATATTATTCATTAAATTATTGATTTTTAATTGTTCTGTTAATAATGATACATTTTGAGTGTTTATTTTATTATTTACATTTGAATTTGAATCAAATTGTGTTGAATTACTAAAACGTTTATTTGTTCTATGAAATTTATGACGAAATGATATATGTAAACGTTCTTTTCCCCATACACAAAATAAACAAAATAAACCAAAACATATTAATATTACTAATAGACTACAAATAATTGCAAGTATATAAGTTGTTGTTTGTCCTAATGGATTATTTAATGTTGAAGATTGTTCATTTAATAAATATGGAAGACTTGTTGATGTCAATTGAAATTCTTGATGATTGAATTCATTAGGATCATTTCTTTCAGGTTGAAATTTTAAATTTGGCATTCTTACTATAAAATATTTAATAAAGAAGAAGAAAAATAAATCATTCATATAGTCAAATAATAAAGAAGGAATTCATTATATGTGAAAAAATTATATTTGAAATAGTCTCAGCAATTGAAATTTAAATAATTCCAACGTTTCGTCCAGTTAACTTGTCCCTGAAAAAGTCCAGACAAGTGAGCTGGACAAAACGTTGGAATTATTTAAATTTCAATCGCTGAGACTATTTCAAATATAATTTTTTCACATATAATGAATTCTCTATACTCGGCGCCCATTTATTGTCAAACTATTCGTTCTAACCTTGACGAATATTCGTATAAAGAAGGAATTGTTTGTGTTTATAAAAGCTAAAATTGTGAATAAATAATTATACTGTATAACTAATCAATTCCAGTATACAACTTCAATGTTTTTTATTAGTTTTGAGAACGTAGTACTCATGAAACAACTAACTTTATTAAGAACGATAAATTCGTGAGTCAATTAAAGCTTGACCACCACGGAAAACTTCGAAGCAATAGACGGCCGTTTCGTGTTAGTATAAGACTTTTCAGCAGTGCTCATCCACGATCCCACCCTCAGGATTCGAACCAAGAGTACTCAGTACCGCACGCGAACGCTTAATCTCTAGACAACTGAGCTGGAATCAAACGATGATATTGTCTAACTTCAACCAATCCACGGAATTGAGCAACCGTCTATCATTTTCATCAATGAGTTACTATCTCACAATAGACCCGGTTGAACGGTCATTCATTACTTCCAGGTTTTCAATGGTGGTCTAGCTTTAATTAACTCATTAATTCACCTATTAATTTATTATGATTTTAATTATTTGGTTAAAAGACAAATTGAAATTTTTATTCAAAATTAGACCGAGTTGTTTATCTGAGTGAGTGACAAATGATACTTATTTCAATTCTAGATAATGTGAAATTTTGGCTTTCCCGTCAAAAAGCTAATATTTTTAAAATCTGATTTTCTGGTTGAGCGTATTTGTTTTTAATATAATTGCTTATAATGAACTGCTCATATATTCTGAAATCAATAAGTGAGTATTCATGAGCTTAGACGAGGTGTGTTAAGCACAGATTGGTGTGAATTAAAATTGTAATTACCTGAAGTAGCTATGGTATTTATTACTTACTTCTATTTAAATGTGTCTATCATAGAAATGATTTGAAAAGAATCTAAGAATTAGACAACTACGGTATGAAATCGGTCTATCTAATTAATAACTATTGGCATGAATCTTTTTAATTAAAATTCATAATATTACTTTATACTATGGGTACTTTGAATAGTCTTTACTATGAATATTTTTCGACATTGTTTATTATTTGGGAAAAATATATTTATTCATAAATAAATATATTAATTAATATATTTATTACTATGGGCTATGATTAGCTACTTATGGTTTCGATCTTATTGACTTACTCTGTAACTATGCTAATATGAGGTTCAGAGAAGTGTAGGTAAGATTGTATTGTTTGTTTGAATCTTCCCATTGATGTTTAGGACTGCAATTTATCAGTCTCTTATTGGTATATGAGCACACTGTGCGTATTGCCTCGATATAGCCTTAATTCACAATCATTGTAAGCAAAGATGGATAGTGGCTAACAGTGAAATCCAGGACTCGCGTTTCGTCCTACTTGGGACTCGTCAGCTGGATGTACCTGTGATGGCGTTTGAAGTGAACGATACTTGGTTTGAATCCCAGAGTGAACATTAACTCTGAGATTCAGGTGCATCCAACTGACGAGTCTCAAATAGGACGAAACGCACATCCTTGATTCCACTATTAGCCACTATCCATCTTTGCTTATAAAGATCATATTTTGTTTATAACTGATTAAATATCACAAAATGAAAGAATAATATGTTGTGTATCGTTTTAAGGACATAAAAATACTTTCCACTTTGGTTTGATATAAACATAGTAAAATATGTCATCGAATCGTTATTTTTATCTTTAAAAAAAGAAAAGCCACATTATCCATTAGCAAATATAATAAATTCACTAAGATATACCATCAGTAGATATTGAATAGTTCAAATCACTGAATAATGAAAATATATATCCTGAACTTCAAAGCAAGAGCAGCATACTTACAACTGAAGAACATTTAAAACTCAAAACAATTTTCAATCAACACCAAGATCAGAATTTTCAATACAAATGTCAAGACAGTTCTACTGTATGAGTCGGAGACATGGAGAACTACGAAAGCTATCATCCATAAGATACAAGTGTTTATTAACAGGTGTCTACGCAAGGTACTTCAGATCCGTTGACCAGACATTGTTAGTAACAATCTAATGTGAAGTGAACAAACCAGATTCCATCCGGTGGAGGAAGAAATCAGAAAAAAGCGCTGGAAGTGGATAAGGTACACATTGAGGAAACCACTGAACTGCGTCACAAGGCAAGCCATCCCATGGAATCCTGAAGGCCAAAGGAGTAGAGGAAGACCAGAAAACACATTACGCCGAGAAATGGAGACAAATATGAGAAGAATGAACAAAAGTTGGATAGAACTAGAAAGGAAGGCCCAGGATATAGTGGAGTGGGTTGGAGAATGTTAGTCGGCGGCCTATGCTCCATTGGGAGTAAAAGGCCTAAGTAAGTAAGTAAGCAAGTAAGTAAGTAATATCCTGAACTTATAATTAACTTAATCACTTTTAACCAACATAGTGAAAATTTCTACTTACATCCTCCATACTTTATTTTATTTCGAAAAAATTTGTTGTTAAGCATCATAAATGAATCAGTAGTTGAATAAAAACAAAAAAATTAAATTATTGAATTTTTTTGTTAAAACTTTTTAACAACACAAATAAGAAAAAGAAAACGAACTGGACAGTAAAAATGAACACAGAATAGAAATACTACTCATAAAGATTTTATCATTTTTTTAAAAAAATTAGAAAAACATAAAATATGTAGGGGAAAGAAAAGACAAGGGGATATTCAACTTGTTTATTATTATTATTATTATGGTTACTGGTTTTATCCTTTTTGTTTACTCTTTTTTACCTACTTACTTACTTATTTATTAAATTGCTTAATTTAAGAAAAGAACATACATATAGCATAGATTGGATAAATAATAAAGGAATAAATTTTTTTCTAAAATTGATTATTAAAAACATCAAATAAACCGCTTGAGTTTTTTTTATATTTTACTGTATGGTATTTGTTGAAACAAAACAAAAATTAATAACCGAGCGGGATTTAATTCGTTATATGTACATCTGTACTTATGTATGTTTGTATGTATGTATATATCAATGTGAAGTAAGTTATAATCGTATAATGTTAATCTTAACATTTTATTGTTATTTAAGGGTTAGTGTAAAACTTTAGTAAAACTGATTTATGACATTTAAATAGATGAAAAAAGTATTTTAGTTTATTGTAAACAGAAAGAAAAAACAAGAGGTGGAATAATTGTTTATTTACTATTTTAAGTTAAACCTCATGTTTAACCATTACTCATATATCCTTATCTTAAATTATTTAGTAGTAAAGGAGATCAAAAAAATTGGTGGAAGTTAAACATTAACATCACTGGTTGCTGAATAAATGGTCTAGAGGTTAAGCGTTCGCTCACGAAACCAATAAATCCTGTGTTTGAATCCCGTGAGCGGCGTCGTGGATGCGCACTACTGAGGAGCTCCATACTAGGACGAAACGGACGTCTAGTACTTCTAGGTTTTCTATGGTAATCTAGCTTTAATTGACTCATGAATTCAACAATTGAATTAAGAAATTAAATGTTTCGTAAAGAAATAATAAAAGAAAATATTCATGTTATTTAAAATGTTGGCTTTGAAAAATCAGGTTGAATCATTTCCAAAGCGATATTACTCCATTGAATAATGATAATAATAAATTTCATCCTTATTCTGTCCTCTTATTTATCATTAGTATCATATTTTGTGTACATTGCACTTTGTGAGAAATGGAGTAAGATATTTTTTCTCTGCATTGTTTTGTGTGAAAATGAGTAGATTCAAGATGTATTAGCAACAACAACAAGATAATAAAGTGAAGTTTGATTGTTATTATCCTCAAAAGGTTTTCATTTATTCAAAAATGTTCATCAATAAATAAACTTCTGAACAATTTCCTTGATTTCCTTACTAACTGATTGTAATCAAAATACACTATTTATCATAGACTGGTGTTGTTTAAGGTACCATGGGATTATTGAACAACAAATAGTAGAGAATGATATTACACCACTTGTTACAATGTATAAACATGCAAGAAAGATAAACAGTTTCAAAGTAAAGAAGATAAAAAATAAAGAAATCGAAATAAAATTAAGGTTGCCATAAATTATATTGGTCAAAAGCAGTAATAAGAAAAGCAAGAGATTATTCTGTTATAAACTATTAAAATAGATTTTCAATACCTTTTTATAAGAAAGTTAGTGATATGTACAATCGACCAATTCGTGGGGTAAGAGAACTCATGGACAATATTTGATTGTGATTGTGTTATATCACAAATATATTATAGATAATAACTTATCCAGAAGGTAGTCTTGAAGTGACAAGCTTTACAATTGATGATTATCAGACATAGTTGAAATCATGAATCAATTGAAGCTAGGCCACCATGAAAAACCTGGAAGCACTGGATGGCCGTTTCGTCCTATTATGGGACTCCTCAGCAAGGCGTATACACGATCCCGCCCTCGCGAAATTCGAACCCAGGAACTACCAGTGTTGAGCCAGAGCCCTTAACCGATAGACCACTGAGCTGTCATCCAACGGTGTTAATGTCTAAATTCAACCAATCCACGATGTCTGAATGAAACACGTAATACAAATGGATTCACCAGAGTCAACTACTAATTATCAGTAGTTTTATTTTCATTCTCTTTGCCCTTATACAACATAGTTATTATCAATGAAACAAATATTTAACTTTTTCATACCCGTAATACCGTAGAATTCAAAATAATTCATAATTTGTTTTTATAGT